AAAAGGAAAAAAGTGTTTCATGGCTCTTAAGTTAGACATGGAGAAGACTTATGATAGGGTGGAGTAGGGGTTTCTGATTAGAGTTTGTAGGCACATGGGGTTTAGTGATATATTTCTGAATTGGGTTTGGGCTTGCATTAGTGATACTATTTCTGACATGTTTTTTAAGGATGTAAGAACTTCTTTAAGCTCTCGGTTATATTTTTTATATTTATTTCATTTGATTATTGTGACTAGTTTGACAGTGGGTGATAAGTTGGTTAAGTTCTGTTTGAATGCAGTTACCTTTGATTGCTTTGTTGGATTAAGTTATGATAGTCTCTAGGGGTTTCCTATTTTTTTTATTCTGATACTCAGGTTCTGATAGCTTGATATGTTTTGATTGCTCAGATTGACTTCCTCGTTGTTGTTTTGATCAAAACTAGTTATGATGTTCTTACATTGCAAGGACTATAAATGGATGAGTTGCACCCACATAAAGGATCCTGCACGTTTTGGAAAAGATGTAAGGAGAATTTAAAAAGATTAACCACAAGATCTCTTAGATTTGAAAGATACCAATTTAAGGAAAGTCATGTTGTAGACATCGAAATTTTAATATCTTATTAATTAATATCTTTATTTATTTGTAGACAAAATCTAAAATAAATAAGATATTTAATTAATAAAGTAAATATTTCTTTTCCACCTAGTCAAATCTTAGGATAAGAAAACAGATTATATCAAATCATGAGAACTAATCAAATTGAAATCTTATTCTCCAAGACTTGCTATCCTACACCTATAAATAGGGACTCTCTCAAAGTAAAAAATCGCCGCTCATAAATCAAAGTCTCGAGTTCAAGAGCTTTGAAGAACTCTCTTGAAGATTTGAAGACGTTCTTGAAGATCCAAGGGCATTCAAGTTAAAGACCGGTGTTCAATCTGAAAGCAAGCCTCCTAATCCCTAAAGTACGTTTAATGAAGAAGAAGGCCTCCTACCTCTCATCTCTTCTCTTCAAATGAAGTTCTAAGATATTTGAAGATGCATGGCGATCTCCTTGAATAAAATGTACAAAGGGCAATTAAAGATGTTGTCTCCTCAAACCATGAAGCCTTCATCTGTATGGAGGAGAAACAAAAGGGGTGTTCCATATCCTTCTTAATGCAAATTCCATTCGGGAAAATTACAAGAAGAGCTCCATTAAATCATCTACAATGCTCCTTGATACGAGCTTAAACTATCTATAAAGCTCCTCGAATTTCCAAATATCATGCTCTTTGATATGAGTATAATCTATCTATAAAGCTCCTTGATATGAGCCTAAACTATCTATGAATTAAAATGCTCCTTGATATGAGTCTAAACTATATAGAGAGCTCCTTGATATGAGCCAAAACTATCCAAAAGTCCAATTTTAATTCTTCTTGATACGAGTCTAAACTATCTAAAAATTCCATTTTTTTTTTATATAAGCATAAACTAGCTACATATTCAAATTCTCTTTGACATGAGGTTAAACTATCTATATGGCTCCTTGACACGATCATAAAATGTCTACAAATTCGTAGACTCCTTGACACGAGTATAAAATGTCTATAAAAATCAAGATCTCCTTGACAAGAGAATAAACTACCAGTAAATTTGATTGCTCCTTGATACGAGCATAAAATGTCTACAAATTTGAAGGCTCTTTGACACGAGTATAAAATGTCTAAAAAATCAAGATCCCCTTGTCAAGAGAATAAAATGTCTATAAATCATAAGGCTCCTTGATACGAACATAAACTATCTACAAATTTAAAGGCTCCTTGATACGATCGTAAACTATTACAAATTTGAAGACACCTTGACACGAGAATAAAAGGTCTCCAAATTAAGAACTTAATGATACGAGTATAAACTATCTAAAAATCAAACTGAATCAAGAACTCCTTGATATGAGTATAAACTATTTGTCAAATCAAATCAAAACTCCTTGAGACGAGTATAAAGTATCTACAAATCAAGTCAAATGAAGAACTCCATGATACAAGTTTAAACTATCAACAAACCCAACTCAAATAACTCCTAGATAATAGTTTAAACTAACTTCATGTCTCAACCAACTCAAAAATTTTAAGACTCATTCGCTACCAAAACATTTTATCCGTGAACAAGTCTCAAGGGGGCATTTGTATACATCAAAATTTTAATATTTCATTAATTAATATTTTCATTTATATTTGGACAAAATACAAAATAAATAAGATATTTAATTAATAAAATAAATATTTTCTGTCAACATAGTCAAATCTTAGGATAAGGAAAGAGATTATATCAAATCATGGAGACCAACCAAATTAACGTCTTCTTCTTCAAGACTCTCTATCTTACACCTATAAATAGAAAGTCTCCCAAAGCCAAAAAACACACCACATAAAAGTCTCAATAATAAGTTTAAGAGCTCTGAAGAACTCTTTTGAAGATTTAAAGACTTTCTTGAAGATCCAAGTGCATTCAAGTTGAAGATCGGTATTCAGTCTGAAATCAAGCCTCCTAATCCCCAAAATACGTTCAATGAAGAAGAAGGTCAAGAAGAAGAAAAAGAAGTGGTGGGTTCTTCTCCAATAAATAAAGAGGCGACACCCACTCATCTTAAATCAGTCTAAGAATATCAACGACATCGAAACGACATTCAAACCACATTCCTTGAGAAGTTCAAGCAATATAGCATTTGATCCGAGAAAAACCTTTCAAGACCTTGAGTCAATGTTATTCAAGTCAAAATTCATATTCGAAGATCCAAATCTTATTTCAAGAAGAGAATAATCAGAGGAGATAAATAGAGATTGTACTTGCAATGTCGTTTGATCGAAATAAAATCAAGTTGTACAAAAGTTTTACGTTTTTCATAAAATTTATTGTTAAAAATTTGACATGCCCAGTGGGACTCGAAGTAAAATTTATACACATTCTTGTAAGATTTTAGAAACAGAATTGTGAAGATCTTCAAATCACATACGCGGATTCTACATGATGGAAACTTACTTTAAAGAAAGGATGCTGAAGATCATACTAATCAAAGGTATCCTTACCTAGTTAGAGTTTATCTTTCATATATATATATATATATATATATATATATATACATTAGATCCTAAAATCTAGAGATAAGAGCAGAGTTATATTGTTCTCTCTTGAGCATACTGAGTTACTTATTCTTTGAGAGTTCGTGAGATTGTTGATTATACTTTATAGTTTGTGAATCAAGATTTCTGTTTTGCTTTCCTACATCTCTCAAAGACTAAAGTATAAGTGTTTGTATTTTCTGGGTATTATCAGTTTGAGTGATTTCAATAGTAATTGTTGAGAAATAGTTAGTAGACTCGAGTATAACTGTGGTAGCTTTAAGACTGAGTCATTTACTTGTAATTTCAAACTATATAATGTGGGAGACAACTGAATTGATGATGAAAGATCTCTCTTAAGAAAGGAACGCTCCCAAATATTAATAAAATTGTTAATTATCGCTTTAACTTATATTTTGTGTTTTTATACACGTTGCGTATCGGCCGGTAATATCAGATACCAGCCATTGGTACGGTACAATTATACACAAAATTCCAGATTTACGGTTATACCGGAATCATATAGTAAATATCGGAAAATACCGGTTGAAAATACCGGTCAATAAAAAAATAAAAAAAATAAAATTTATTAGTTTAAAAAAATAAAATTTAAATAATAGTTAAAATGTTTTATTTTTATGTTATTGAGAAATTGAAATTAATGATTATGGTCATTTATTTTTTTACTTTTTTGTATTTGACATTATAATTTTTGATATATTTATATATATATTATATTCGCTAGTTCGATAATACCATTAATATTATCGGTTTAATCGGTAATACCGCGTACCGATAGTAGACAAATCTGTGTACTCAAAATTGAGAAAAAAAGACTGCAAGCCCCGGAAATTGCGGCCACAAGTGCGTGGTACGTCACTTTTAGACGCTGACACGTGGACGTACAGAATCGACTGAAACAGATTTTGATGTGGGCCCATTTAAAAGATAGCTAAATTGTGCATGAGAACAAGAGCATAAGTCCAGGTGGGGGCTGTGCTTCACTGTGGTAGTGCACGCACTGAGGTCCACACGCTTTTGCTTTTGTTATACAAAAGTCATCAACTTATGTTCTTCCTGGACAATTTTAGCCTCCAATTTATTATACTGTCATCCCGTCCTATCGCTAACAAAATTTCATGAATTCTATAAATTAATCTTTAACACATTTTACTATTCACTCATTTTACATAATTTTCATTATTTAACTTCACAATTATTGAATATGCAATTGCATGTAGTTCATTTAGCCAAATATTAATGTAGTATTTATTTTAAATTTTAAGAGAATTAATATTTGAAGTGAAAAAATTGTGGTCATGTTAATTAATTTTCAGAGAACAAAAATGTTCAACTCCAACTTGTTCCACATCAAACTTCATAGCTAATGTGACAACTATAAGTTACTCTTGATCGAATGGAGTTCTAATGTATTAAAATATATTATATGATTGAAGATCAACCACAATCATTTATAAAATATTTTTAACAAGACATGCGGGCAAATATGCAAGTTTCTAGTCCATAATTCTATAAGGCTATATTTGGTAAACTTAGTAGATAAGTTAGCTTACAGCTGATAAAATAGCTTATAGCTTTATGCAAGTATGTGGTCCTTAATCCTATAAGATTTGAGTTTTGATGATTAATGAAACTCCATTTTATTTTATTGGGGAACAAGTCATTGCACATTGTAAATAAGGCGAGCTTATTTATATCCATGCGCTTTCAATAACATTTCATAAGTACATTATCATATGTATACTACTAGTGTGTAGCCAGTGCGATACACACGACAATAATGACAAATTGTATAAATTAAAGCAATGAAAGAATATTGATTACGATAGTTACAATTTTGCATATTAATATTAATTTTAAACTTTTCTTTTACTTTTATGATATATAATAGTTTAATATATTATCTATATGTTTACAATATGTTTATATGTCACTAAGAAACATGAAAAATTAGCATATTCAATCACTAGTAATGAATAATACTAAAAAAAATACCTCTCTCTCTCTCTCTCTCTCTCTCTCTCTACTCTCACCTTACTACAATATATTATTTTGATTTCTAAATAAGTGATAGTAAAGTTCCAAAAATTATGGCAAATATTATACATTGACCAGTGTTCTAGAAGTCGCTAGGCATTCAGCCAGCACCTAGGCGGGGCCTAGAAATTAAGATTAAATATTTTATTTTTATATATATTCACTGTCTACAAAATAAAATTATATCAACTTATAATAAATTCACGCACCTAAGTGCAAATAATAATATTAATATATTATAAATAAAACATGATAACACAATAATGTAATGAGTATTAAAAAAAACTGAAAAATTGCCGTTCAGGCCTGCCTAGCCGCCTAGCCGATTTTATCAGCCGATTCATGCAAATCGGAGGCGGCCGCCTAGGTCAATTTTTTGTACATTGACATACACACTTATTTTAAAAGAATGTAGTGTATATTATTTTAACATTATAAAATTTAATAATTTTTAATTACGCTAAAATTATTATAATACTTTTTATAATTTATAATAATCTATATTATAAATTCTTTAAATTTTCTTTCTAATACAATAATTAATATGACAGTTCAATACTGATTAATTTATCATTATAATTTAATTATATACATTATAAATAGTATTAATTTTTTTAAACTAACAATTTACTTCATTGTTCGGCAGATGGCTTGTTGGTCAACTATTATAATTTACACTAATATATATTATAAATATGTTGTTTTTTTTAAGTAAATAATTTGCATGAATAGTTTGACAATGATCTTTTGATTTGTCATCATAATTTGTAATGATATATATATATATATTATATAGATATTTTTATTTCGCAGTCTAAAATTATAATTCACATGAAAGTTAGACAAATGATTCATTGGTTTATCATAATTAATAACAATATATGTTATAAATATTTTGATTATTATAATAGGATAATTTACATGTAGGTCGACAAACGACGCCTTGGTTTATTATTTAATATCATATATATTTATACTCAAACAATTGTTTACTTATACTTTATTATTTTTATAGCTTTAACTATTTAAACTCATTAGAGATAAACATATCAATTACTATTTTAGATTATCATACTAAATACATTTATTATTCATACATTTAGATCTTATAATATAAATAACTTACTAATTTCTTATTTTTCAATCAATATCAAATAAAAAAATTATGTTTATTTTATTTATACATAAATATGAGTGTTAAATCGAACATCGTAGAATGTTAATTTAATTTTATATACAAAAAAATGAATAAAAACTAAGAATATCATTAAGTCTTTAAAAAGAAAATAACATTAATACTTAACAAGAAAAAAAAAGAAAAAAAAAAGAATACAATGGTATGAAACTAAATGAAAAAATAATCATATTTAGAAAATTTCTCCATCTAGGCATTTCAGGAAATAATTTAAATTTTATATTTTTTAATTCACAAATGTTATACTTGGAGTGGTTATTCTATAACAATATCCGTGTTTTTATATTTTTTAAATAAAATAAAATTCAAGATTAGGTAGAAATTGAATCATTGATTGTAATATTTGAAAAGTATAATTTCAAATTTTGATATAACGTCACTAAAATTAAAATTAACATAGATTAGATAGAAAAAAAAATTGATTAAAAAATTTTGAACAATTTAATCAAGAAATTTGGATCAATATGATTAAATGTGGATCAATTATCGATTCATATTAGGTAAAATAAAAATAAAAGTCTCATAATAAATGGTAAGAAAAAAATTATCAAAAAATAGGAAAGAAAAGTAAAAAAAAAAAAGGGTTATAAATTTTTTCTTATTTAGTAAGCAATAATTTTTTTGGTAAGAAAACTATACTATTTTTATATAAATATAAAGCTGTGTGTGTGTGTATATTTCTCACCTGAGTATCAAACTATCATGATCAGGGTGGTGGTTTTGTATATCAAGTGATGTAAAGAAGCTTACGAGTGAGACTAATAGAACGAGATTTCAATCTCAGAACACGATAAAACGATCAATATCTTATTTCCAAACTCAACTACTCAATAACAAAGAATAAGGAGTCTTTAAATAAGACTCCTAAAGCCCTATACATAACTTGTTCACCAAGAAATAAACATAAATAACGAATAATTATTATATGTTGGAAATAATAATAATAATAACAATAATAATAATACTTAAACTAATGCCCTATCCGTATCATTCTCCCTCGGTTCGGAAGGCTTCGCCCCGAAAGCCGCACCAAATGTGTCGACACTGGAGTCGTACCCATGGAAGGAATCTCCCGACGTTTTCTCCCTATCGACCACGAAGGTCGAATGTTGTCCAATTATGTCAGCATGGGCAACATTATGAAGTGCATCCAAAGGTTTTCCTGTATCAAGCCATAAGCACCTTACGGTTATTCTTATTTTTTCTTTCAGAGCCTTCTCAAATGAACCATCAACAAATACCAACTTCCTTTGAGTGAAATTTATTGCAGCTTGTACACTACCAAGTCTATGTATATTTGAAGCAAACTGGCTAGTGATAACCCTTCCTTTGGCAGCTGAAATATGTTTGAATAATTAATCTGCCACAACTGTCTAACTCAATGTCCTTCTAAGGGAAAGTACATTTGTTGAGTCACTCGTCATCAGTTCATTAATTCTAAGAGGACTGTAGACCTCCTCTTCCTCTGGTCCTGGATGCTCCTCGTCGAAAATCGGCGGTCCGTCGTAAAAGCAGCCCGTGTCGCCGGTAAGATGCTCCACCGCCTGCGAGAGCTCCACATCAAAAACTGGCGGGCCGTCGTAAAACGAATGGTCGCCTAGGCCACCCATGACATTGGTGAACAAAGCCTGAACACCGCCAAAGCCCCCAGTGGGGCGTTGCAGTTCTCAGCTCCAGGCTGCTGCAAATCCATCCCCGGCCTAGTGCCAGTCGCGCCTAGGAACATTGGCCCAGCCCTCAGCGGCGCGTCGATCGTCGTATGCCCAGGCCGCCACAAACCCACCTGCTGGCCGCCTCTGCTCACGAAATTAGAAGTCACTTGAGGTTTTGTCATGCCGGAAATCGCACCCCTGAATCGCGTGAAAACCCCTATCGCTGAAACTCCTTATTGCACGACGCCGCCGGTGCTCATCGTCGGTGAATTCCTCGCCCCACCTATAGTCTTGGCCTTGGCTCTCAAAAAACAGCTGATGTTGTGCACCGTGGCTCGCCAGGGTTCATCCTAAAAACCCATGCGCCGCCACTGGTCGCGAAAAATTGGGTCGTAGAAGCCCTTTGTGCAGCGACATTCCAGAAAAGGGTCGTTGTAACCGTGCATTGCACGGCGAAGGTCACGCCGCTGTTGCACTTCACTTCCAAAGCCCACACCCCCGTGCGCTATTGCTCGCCGTCAAAGGTCGCGCTCTCGCGCTGTAGGGCCCAGTCGCAGCGCTGATGCTTGTCGTCTTCATCACCGGACGACAGTTGTGGCAATCGCGGAGGGGTGCCCCCTGCCTGAACCACGGCCACCGCTAAATCCCTCGCGCATGCCCCGGTCGCTGGCGTCACAGTATGTTTACTTGTCCCAAACCATGGTATGAGCTTTAGACGTAAATCGTCGATCCCCGTCGAAAGATTCGCATACCAATGCGTGGAACACTCAACCACTTGCTGAAACCGGTCGTCGATCCGATGAAACCGGTAGTTGAAGGCTGCATCACAATGTTCGTTTGTTCCCATTACAAAAAATTGTTATATTCCAATGGGAAGTCATATGGTAATATATTTCAATGAAAATTCCAACGGGTACTCCAATGGTATAGCTTCCAAATGTAATTCCAACGAAAATATTCAGTTGAAATGTGTTTTTCATTGGAATTTTAGATAGAATTTGATGATTCCAACGATTTTTTACCGTAGGAATTTTCTGTTGGAATACGCAATTTTTGTTGGAATTTTTATTTCCACCCCCGTTGGAAATCTACCATTGGAATCGTCAAAATTCAACGGAAATCCAATGGAAAACTCATTTCAACGGAGTATTTTTGTTGGAATCCAATGAAATTTTCCAACATAAATAATAGCATTAAAATATCATTGGAATTGCCTTTGGAATTCTATTGAAATATATATCCGTTGGAATTTCATCATTTTTCTTGTGGTGTGCATCTTGTCGTCGTGGCGACATCGCGAATCGTACTGACTTATGATACCAACCGATGTAGGGAAGCGTACGAGTGAGACAGATAGAACGAGATTTCAATCTCAGAACACGATAAAACGATCAATTTCTTATTTCCAAATTCAATTACTCAATAACAAAGAAGAATGAGTCTTTTTCTTTTTTGGTACAAAGAAGAATGAGTCTTTAAATTAGACTCTTAAAACCCTACACCTAACTAATTCACCAAGGAATAAACATAAATAACAAATAATTATTAAATAATAATAATAATAATAATAATAATAATAATAATAATAATAATAATAATAATACTTAAACTAATGTCCTATCCGCATCATCAAGTCGATTCGTAACTCAACTTTAGGTAGTTCAACTGGAAAACTCGATTTCGAAAAATAAAACCACCGATAAATAGTGAATTTGCGAAAATCGGATAAAGGACAATACTACATGTACAATTGTAGTTTACAACTTTGATTGACAACTTAGTTAAAAGTATCATTAACTCAAATCTCAACCATACATTTATTTGCATCTCAACCACCCACATCATGCCACATTATGTTGTCATTGAATGTTGTACAAAAAAATTGTACAAATGCCTTTTTCCTAAAATTAAAAGCAGTTGATGGTGATCCTTAATATGTCAGGTAGAAAAACAAAGGTAGGTGAATAAAAGGTCTACTTTTAGTTGTTTTGACCGTTTGTGATAGGATAATGACAAGCTTTAACCGTTCATTCGACGGATGAGGGACAAGTGACCTTTGTGTTTATTATTAAAAAGACACTTGTCCCTCATCCAATGAACCAACTTTAATACAATTGTAATAATTCACTTTATCGTACTATAAACTTGTACGAATATTGTGCGATGTACGAGTAAGAGATAGTATTAGAATTTATAAGTTAGAAATAATCATTAAATAATATTTATGATCTAAAAATATGGAATCAATGTGTAATGCAATTTATTTATATTAATTTAATATTATTCAAAAATTAATGTGACACTAAAAACAAATATAACTCTTGTTAATATAATCTTTAAAATTCGTAGTGATGTATGAAGGTATTATTAAAAGCTTCAAAATTGATTGACAAATTCGTAGTGATCGATGATTAGGATTATTATTATTGGAAAAACGTGTGGTTTGTTAAGTCAGTAGTAAGATAAATAAGGAGATTGAATTTTTAAGAGATTCTCAAGTTTTTGGAATTTTTTATATTACATAAATTGATTGACAAATATTTTCCAAAATAAGTTGTTGAGATAAATTAAGTTGGTATAATAAATAAGGACAATATATTTGGAGATATAGTGTAAACCGTTTTTTTTTCCTCAAACAATTTTTGTTTTATTGATTGTNATAATGATGATTAAGAATTCTAATATTTTGTTGAATCAATTATTATATAGGCTATTCAATATAATATTTTTTGACCGGATATATATAGAATATGTAAAATATATATTTCATTTTTTTATTTTTTAAAATACACAAATCTTCAAATATATTAACAAAATAAAACAAAAACTCTAACCTGCTAATTTTGAAAAGCGAATAAAACTTGGATTGTTTAGGATTTCTGATGTTTTAATTTGGTTATATTTAAAACGTTTTTTATAGATTTTATGTTGTAAATATTATTGTAAATGGTTATAACTGACTTTGTGTTTCGAATTTTCATAATTGAAATGCTTATTTTTTAATTGTTTGTGAAGTGTATTATATATTATGATTGTGATTTTGTTTTGTTGAACAAATGTAGAAATGTTTTATTATATTTGTAACCATTTGTGCGGTGTATCATATATTATGATTGTGAGTTTTTTGTTCACCAAATAATTTTCATTTAAATGAGATTGTATGTAAAAAAAAAAATGATTTTTAAAGTTATATGTGCAAAGTGGCTGATATTTTAGAATAATGGTAAAAATGATTCATTCGAATAATTTAGTAAAATTATTTAAATCATTTGAAAGATTTATTTGCAAATTAGAATTGGGTACACGGTTTTCTAAATTGGATGGTATGCGAAAAACGGATAGGGGCAAATCTAAAGAATCCATTTAGAGATTGAATGAAAACAAACATTACATATTTAAATATGGAACTGAATACACTTTTTTAGGAATGGATAATAATCAGTAAAATTCAGTCGCATCCAAAAGTTCTGAACTAATTCAGCCGCACAAAAATTGGGTTTGGCGGGATTTATCAAAAAAAAAATCAAAAAATCATTCCATTAATGGTATTAAACGAAAAAATGAGCGGAAAAATGACATACTATTATTGTATTTTTTCTTCTCTCTACTAGTGCGTGGCCCGTGCGATGTACGGGGAAACAATATTACGATTGTATTATAAATTAAATATATATATACCATTAATCATGATTTACCCATTGTTTTTAAATTAAATCGGGTTGGACACAGTTCGGCGGATGGACCGAGAACCGATTTATAACCAGTCTAGTTGCTTGAATAAAATATTAGCTATCGAATCTGTCAACACCAGTCGGTTTGACTGGTAGGATCGATATCGATTTTCTAAATAAATTTGGTTACATTTAAAATTATATAAAATTACATATTTAAATAAAATGGAGATTTATAAACTCTTTATCAATAGTTTAAATATTTGAATTTATAAATTGTTTAGATATTTAAGTATCACATTTTCTTTAAATTTATTACAAAAAGTATTATATATATAAAAATGTTTATAAATTAAAATCTGAACAGACCACAAATAATTTAATAAAATAACTTGATCTTTTCGATGAGTTATATATATTAAAATGTTTCCAAGTTACAATTTGAACAGAGCACAAATAATAAAATAACTTGATCGTTTCGATGATGGTCCGGTTCTGAAAACTTTATATTTCTTGTACATTAATAAAAATTATAATAAATTATTATTTTATTCACAAAATAATTAATAAAATGATATATAAATATTTATAAATTATTAAACATGTTGTCATAAAAATATTGTTAATATGATTATTTAAAGTTTGGACTACATCACATTGAAGTAATAAAGTATTTTTAATATTAAAATTTATATTTAGGTTCAATAATCGAATTGGTCTGATCAAACAGATAGATAACTTGGGTAAGACCAATCAAGTTGTGTCAATTTTTTTGACTATTTTAAATATCACCTAAAAGTAAAACAATCAACTTGGACAATACCCTAATTTAATCATCTGATTGATCCAAAGAAATTTTCTTATTTTTTTTTATATATTTAATTTTATGAAATAAAAATATTTTATGATTCATATAATAAATGTCTACACCAAATGATAGTACATTAAGATTATAAATTATATATCTAAAGATGAATTAATTATTTTTACTTTATGAATATTAATAAAAAGTACCTCTCCTTTTAGTCGAGCATCTGTTATGACCTCTCGCGTTGAGCTCGACTTTAAGGAGAGGAATGACCCGAAGTTAATTAGTTTTACTTTATGCATGTTAATAAAAAAAAAATAAACATAGTAATTTTTAAAAAATTAAGATCAATTGATTGATTATGCAATTTAAAGAATATGTGTATTTTCAAGGAATAAATTTCTTCATATAAGGGATTTTGTTTTTTTAAACTATCCAAATTCATATTCATATCGGCAATTTGAAATTTTGAATTACAATAGAACATGACACTATGAATACAAAATATCTTTTAACAAATAAATCAGATTCAATTTAAGATTTACTAGTTTTAAAAATAATAAAATCATTAATTTAGGCAGTGATATGTGATACATATATCTAAGTCTATTTACATAACATTTTACCATTAAACCATTGACAATTTAAATAAGAAAACTAAAATATTTCTGTGATTTAAACATAGAAAATAAAAATTAATCTA